AGTTGACTGAGAGACAGATGGAAAATCGAAGAGCCACTTCCGAAATTTTACTTTTGCGGCATGAAAGAAAGCGTTTCCTGCATCGAATTGTTACTGGCGATGAGAAGTGAATATATTTCGAGAATACCAAACGTAAAAAATCGTGGCTTTCACCTGGCGAAGCATCAACATCAACGGCACGGCCAAATCGCTTCGAAAAGAAGACAATGCTCTGCATTTGGTGGGACCAGAAAGGAATCGTGTACTATGAGCTGCTGAATCCGGGGGAAACTGTTAATGGGCATCGTTATCGACAACAACTGATTAATTTAAACTATGCATTGCTCGAAAAACGGCCAGAATGGGACACGAGACACGAAAGAGTGATATTGCACGACAACGCTGCGTGCCATCGCACTTCCATCATTCAGGACACCATCAAAACGCTGAAATGGGATCTAATACCGCACCCGCCGTATTCGCCAGACCTGGCCCCTTCCGATTATCACTTGTTCCGGTCGATGGCGCATGGCTTGGCTGGGCAACACTTGGCCAATTTCGAAAAAGTGCAAAATTGGTTCGATGAATGGTTTCGGTCCAAAGACGCGTCGTTTATCGTCGCGGTATTCATGTATTGCTAGAGAGATGGCAAAAATGTATAGCTAGCGAGGGACGATACTTTGAATAAACCATTTTTTGTATTTCTCTTGAAATTTTCCATTTTTCATTGATCAAAAAAACCCGGAAACTTAGTTGCGCACGTAGTAGTAATATATTCTTGATAATAAGTAAAGTAAAAAAGTCTAATACTATTTTTTCTTTTGACGAATAGTTAGCGAGATATCGTAAGTTAAATGTTGAAAAAGTTACCAAGATTTCCTTAAATATTTCAAAAATTATTAGGCAAGTAAAAAAATATTTCAGACAAAAGTTGTTAAAATTAATTGGAAAAGAAAGAAGATATAATAAAAAGTTGGGCTTTCTATTTAAAAAAATTAAGTTTGCCTTCAACTGACCTTGAAAATGCCCTCTAAATAAAAAACTGATAATGTCATTCTCTTTCCCTTTTAAAATCATGGAACACGTGTTTTAGCCTTTTTTAATATCTTTCATAGTTTTCGAGATAATTAGCTGGAAAGTTTTCAAATGAACACCCTGTATAGTATACACATATTTAATTTATAAATTTATGAATTACATATGTGTATTAATTTATATAATTATAAATTACATATATCGATAAACACAAATAATATGATAAACACTTTAATAAGTCATACAAAACTATTAACATTTTATTTAGAAATTAATGAGATGGTTGCGCTTGCTTGCGTTTGCATAGTTCATCAATAGCTGGGTTTATCTTATTAAGGTAGAATCGCAAATTATCTTCAACATTTAGTTTGTTCCTGTATCTATTTCTTGAAGTAGCTAAAAATGAAAAACCAACTTCGGATAAACGCGCTTTGTTATTTATTTTTGAGAAATTAATTAGTAGCTATGTTATCAAGTTAACGATTTTTGAAATTTCGTGACGTATCCCCAAAAGTTTTGCCGTATATCTCCGGAAGTATGCGTATCCCAAGTTGAGAACTGTTGCATTATAGATTATCATCTCCGATTATAATAGAATAGTTTGAATAGAAATAACTTTTCATCTTTCGAAGCCTTAGAAAGTCACGTTTCGACGTTCTTCAATGAGAAACCACATACATTCCGTGATTGTGACATTTATATGTTATCAGGATGTTGACTACATAGAAATATTAAAAGGAATCATGACAGGATATTACTTCGAATTATGTCACATATAAGAACAAATGTTACCGAATCTTCATGAGCATTATACCAAGATTGTTAGCATATTTTGTGCAACTAGCAAGAGAATGTTTGAAAGTACTCTCTCATCAACTAGACTGGAAAAGGATTATAGAGAATAATGGAAAGTATTTTGTGAATTTGATAGATATTTACATATCAAATCACTAAATGACTTTTATTAAAAAAGCGGACACAAATTTTGCACTTACTCAATATTTTTTTTAACGTATTATGTTTTGATTAGGCTGTAGAGAGCAAAACGAGAATGATGATCTCGAATTATACAAGTGCAAAATAAGGATATTTCCAACTGATAAGCTTAGCTGCCTTGTACGTAGTCTATTCAGAATAAATTTTATCGTACAAACGTGTACGATATTCGACGTCAGAGTCATGACATTAACTCAATCGAAATGTGTACGGTTTTCGTTGATCAATTGTAGTTGATGAGAGAGTACTTTCAAACATTCTCTTGCTAGTTGCACAAAATATGCTAACAATCTTGATATAATGCTCATGAAGGTTCGGTAACATTTGTTCTTATATGTGACATAATTCGAAGTAATATCCTGTCATGATTCCTTTTAATATTTCTATGTAGTCAAAAATAAAATATTTTCGTTTCTCGTAGCAGATGTTATAAAACTATTTGGAACGATTTCCGATTGGAATAATCTTATTTTCATTAGAAAACGCAATAAAAAGCGTGAATCGATAAAAACGTTACTGACTGTAAATAAAAGTGTTTCATTGAAAATCAGTGAATATCCATACATTGATTTTCAATGGAGATATTCTTCTCTTATTTCACTTACAGTATTGTACTTAGATAATCTTAGGATAAATTAAATAAAATGAAATATGTAAATTCTCTTTAATAATTAGCTAGATTATAAATACATTTCAATGCAATTTCAATCTTAACGCTATTTGATATATGCAGTACTAACGTCATAAATATCGTAAAAATGTGAAAACGATATAGAAACAAATATTTCAATATTTTTCATATTTGCAGCAAATACTAGTATATTAAATTATTTATGAACATCATTTTAGATCATTTTTGAAAAATAACATTTTTTATATAAGATGCAGAGAAACATAATACATATTTATTTAAGTAAAGATATGTTAGGATACCAAAACTTTATTTGAGTTATCATTTATATAATTTTTTATCTAGATAAGAAAAAACTAAGCAATAGAAACATTGCTCATTGATTTTGATTAATAAAGATAAAATTTATATTGTAAAATCCGTAATACTCCGTAAATAATCCGTAAAATTATCCGTAAAATTCGTTACGCGCTGTACTAAGTCCAATCTTTTGCGTTTTCAACGATATAATTAACAGATTCTACGTGCTTTACGTGTAATGCAATTGTTTGTGTTTGCAATCAATAATGGCAACAATCTTTATTATCAACTGATCTTTTCAACGAAATTTTATTCTGATTATAGTTTTATACTTATAACCGAATTATTAGTTATAAAAATAGTTTCAGTGTAAAATATACTAATTGTATTTTAGAAACTAAGAAAAATAAATGGAATGTTTTCAATCAAAACCTTCTCCGAATAGTTTCATAACATCTGCCCACGCACAGAAGGTTTGAAACTCTTGGATGAATGCAAAAATGCAAATTCTTCAATAAAAGTACAATTTTTTAATAAAAGTCACTTAATAATTTGACGTATACGTAAATACATCTATATCTAATTGATCAAATATTTTTCATTATTTTCTATGTATAACCTTTTCCAATGTTCTTACAATATGGATACCACAATCACAGAATGTACCTTTTAAAGCTTTAAAAGATGAGAAGCTCATCCATTTAAACTGTTCTGCAATGTTCTGGAACAAGTGATAGTCTGATGATGCGATGTCAAGAAAATAAAAAAGGAATGTAACAATAAAAAACTTCGAGTTTAGCTGTCTGAGTTAAATATGCATTGAACCGTGAGATCCTGCGTTAAAATCGTAGTTAAAAACAACATCTTTACAATTGGCCGAAATTGGACATTTTTTTTTAACTACAGCTTAAAAATTATGCTAATTTTGACAGTACTTGCCGAGTTAATCGTTTTGCCAACGGAGACAATTTAAAAAAAATTATTCCTGTGCAATGTCTTCGGACAACATCACTTTCTGAGAATATAAATCAGCTTTTGACATAGGCTGATCGAGTTTATTTTTTTCCAAGTTGCATTAAACATTATTATATAGAATCCATTTTTTATTTCTCGTCACTAATCGATCCAAAAACGTATCTTTATTTAGCCGAGCAAAGAATTAGCTGCAGCAACTTGGTCAATTTTTTTCTTTTCAGTAAGTACATGTGGCACCTAAACATTTTTAGATTAATTGTAGATTAAAGATTGGAATTTTAAATTATGCACAATCTCTTTTAAGTAACGAAATGCGATTGATTTATCAATCTTCAACTTCTGTTGAACTTCGTTGATTTATTAAGTTATTCATAATATTATTGTCATCTTTTGCAGACCGTCTAAAGCAAATTGATCTCCGAGATTCAAAATCACCATGTCGAAATTTTGAAAATTGACTCTTTGCAGTTTTTATGGATTTCGCATGATCTTAATAAATTTCCTTGTTGTTTTTTTATGGCAATTCCAACTTTTACATTTTTTTTTATTTATAAAGTTTAATATAGCAAAAATAAACTTTTTCATTACTCATTTTCAATAACTATTCTCAGAATTTAAATGCAGTCAAAACAAATTCCACGTTTATATAACAGTTGAGAATATCATTCTGTAAGGGATATATAATATGTAAGCTTTACAAACGGAGAGTCACTGTGCAACATCAATACGATATCTAATAAAATTACGATGGCACGAGCTTTTACATTCAGCCAATATTTCGTCTGTCATGAATCTCTGAATCATGATTATAAATATTTGCTCTAACGTGAATTAGTAAAAGGTGAGAATGTCCTAATTTGAAAACATTAGAAGATTATTTTTTACGAATTCACACTAAGAGGAAAAGATTCATAATCGCCTGTCTGCCTTGGATATGCAAATTTCATCCTTGGTCAACCTGCTCTGCTGTCTAAGGCAACTCTAGCTTACGCAGTGTCGCGACGCTTAACAATGATGGTCGGGGTGCGCAGCCCCGGGACGAAACGAGGTTGTGTGAGGCGTGGACTACCAGCTATAAGAGGGACGCCGTGCGTCGCGACGCCAGAACATCTCTGATACTTGGCCGAAGCTCGTACAGCTCTGACGATCTCGCGCAACTTTGATTCTCGCTGCAGTCGTAGATAGAAGGACTAGAGAGGCAAATCGTGGTCGATTCCGCAGGATCAAAGTTCTTTCTGACTTGTTCTCGTACGCGCGCTTTTGGTTTCCCTTTTCCTCATCGCTTTTCTGTATGTTTCTTTTACGGTTTTTCGGCCAAACTCGTCACCTTCAACTGCTCATCGCTGAGAAGATGTTCTCTAAGTCGACCTCGGCGCCAATTTTTCTGCTCGTTGTCGCCAGTGTGTTTCATGCCGCAAAAGCAGCAATCAGCAGCGGCCATCACCGTCAGCAACAGGTAAATACACCATGAAAACGTATACTTTTTCCGCGATTTAAACACGCGATTGGTATAAGATATTTTGTATTTTTTGAGAAATTACAAAATTGCAGATTTCACATTTAGATATATATGTACGCTTACTGCTATATATAAAAAGACACATTACAGTAAAAAAGGATATTTAGAACGAAGAAATATTTCGAGATACATATAATAAAGTACAAAGAGAGAAAGGTAGTGAGAAAGAGAGGTAATGGGAAGGAGAGAGGGAGGGAAAGAGAGAGAGAAAGATCTTATAATTAGGAGTAAAAATAGAATAAAAAGATAGAGTGAAAAGATATTGTGAGACACACCTAACAAATTATAAACAAATTACAGACATTTTAGAGTAAAAAAACATTAAAGTAGAAAAATATTCAGAATGAAAGGATATTATAAGGAAATAGGTGGTTATATGAGATATAATTAATTTAATTAGTTTTCCCTTATAGATGTATTATATTTTAAATGTTATTATAGGATTTACGATTTGGATGATTTATTTCGACGGCCATGCAATTAATAAATATAAATAATTCTGTATCATTCCTTATGCTTCTTTCAACTCGCTCGACTTTATTTCTCGCTCGATTCTACGATTTCTCAATTATCAATTCAACTATCGACTCTCTTTTATTCCCCCTTCTTTCTCTCCCTCTCTCTTTCTTAATGCGCTCGTTATATGCGTTTCTTCTTCGATTCTCTTCTGTACGTTAATTATTTGTTACAATTTAATCAATTTCCTTGTTATATCTGAAGAAGCATATATAAGTACATATAAATATAAAAATAAGCGTAACAAAAGAAGTCTAACAACAATTCCCACATTTGAAGCAATGATTTTATAATTTGGAAATAAAGAATATTACAATAAAAGAGTATTTAAAACACAAAAAACATACATAACAATAAATATGTACACAATTTGAATAAATGGATCCTTTTCGATCATGATAAAATTATAAGAACATAAAATCAAGATATAAAGTATATACAAATATTTCACGTTTTTTTCCTTAATTAAACTTAATTAAGATGATTTTGTGGGGAATGATTGGGGAATCAATACGATACAGGAATAAGAGGGATGTATCTATTCAGAAATAAACGTGGTAAGTCTTGGCTAATCAATGAAAGTCAATTAAGAGCGAGCTACTTTATTCTTTAGTGCTCTCAACCGTCGTCCTCGCTTTGTCTTTCATCTTCTTTTCTTCGATCGGGAGCAGTGATATTCCATCCAAGAATTTTCTTAGCATAATAGGCACTCTCTCTCTCTCTCCCTCTGTCTGTCTGTCTCTCTCTCTCTCTCTCTCTCTCTCTCTCTCTCTCTCTCTCTCTTTTCTCCCTTCCTCTCTCTCTCGATGAAAATAAAGTTGCTGTTATAAAGATGACGGGCCTGTAGCTACTTCTTTCCGCTTGCGACCGAGCTAAAAAAGTTTTTTCCTAAAGGAATTAACCGCTTAATTAACTTGTTTTTTTTCGCTGTATTTTCCGTTAGAATAATTTAAGTAATAGCTGACGCATTGTGTTTCCAGTGACTGTCGGGAGTGTGCAATAATTATGTTTGTGTAATATAAAGATTAATAAGAATATGAATAAGAGAAATATTTCTGTCGTCTTCGTTTTATATTTTCTCGTTTAATAAATATTACGGCCCACATGTATTTTGGCTTAAATTTGGTTATTGGATGCTTGATGCTAAAATGTGTTTTATCATGTGCATGACATTTTTAACATGTATTTTGATGGGGCGAGAAGAAAAATTTTTTTCTACATTATTTTGTCATATGAAAAAGTCCATATAACGAACTAACAGTTTTGAGAAATAATACATTAGGCACGTATCTCTCAGAATTTTCCCACGAATGAAATTTCTTCAGACTTTAGAACAAAAATGTCCGTCAAATTGTAAACAATATACTTATTCAATATTGGTAACAATGATTTTAGTTAATATTGGAGTTATTAAATGAAAAAAGACTAATTCAAAATTCTTTTTTAGATTATTAAAATTTTTATAACGATACATTTTTTTATTTTTAATAAATGTTATATGAAATTAAAAGAAATAAATTAATATTTCAGTTCAGCATAACATGTTTTTTCTCTTTTCAAAAAACCTGTCATTTTGACTGTTTCAATAGAAATATATATAAAGAGATCGTGTTAATCGTTGATAATTTTAGTGTTAAATAAATAAATACTTGTTTGTGTGCTTTAAACAACGATTATGTGTAAGAAATCTTGTACAGCAGGAGCTTTTAAATAAAGGCAGACATGTTGCGATGTATCTTGTTCTTATTTCTTCTGCAATAAACTCAATGGTAGTAATAATCGAGTATACGAATTCTGACGGTTCGTTTCTGAGTTTTGGTAATTTCGTGAACGTAAACAGTCGAATTGGAAAGAAAAACTTCGCGAAATTTTTGTTTATTGGGAGTACAAATTAGTTGTTTTTTGTGTTAAAAGATGTATTTATTTCAAAACAAAATGAATGAACAGATCAATTAAAGTATTTTCCATCGCTGGCTATTACTTTCTCCCATTTCTCAGACAATTTTCGAATTCCATCTCGAAAAAATGACTCGTCTTTTGAGGTGATCCAAGTTTAGAGTCAATTTTCGATATCTCAAAGAAGTGAACCGGTGACCTGCCAAATCGTGCTGCATCCTTCGGAACAACCAGTAATCAGAAGGAGCAATGTCTGGAGAATACGGCGGGTTCGGTAAAACATCCCATTTGAGCGTTTCCAAATATTTTTTGTACGACTTTTGCGACATGAGGCCGAGCGTTGTAATGAAGAACGCCTTTCAACGTCTCTCGGTTTCAATTCATAAGGCACCCAATTTCCTTGTTTTTGAATAATTCCCATGTCTCAATCGTACGGAAACGGCTTATTAAGTCACTCCCAATGATTCTGCAAACTCCTCTTGCGTTTGACTTTGATCTTCTTCGAGTAATGCCTCTAATTCTTTGTCCTCGAATTTTTTTGGCTGTTCAGAGCGAGGCTTGTCTTCGACGTTGAAATTCCTATCCTTGAAACATCGAAACTATTCCCCACATGATTTATCAGTTGGAGCAGCGTCACCATAAACTTCAACAAGCATTCGATAGGCTTCAACTGCACTTTTCTTCCAATTAAAGTAGAAAATTAAAACCTCCCGCAAATGCTTGGTTACCACAAAATTCGACATTTTCAACACTGTAAAAAGCAAGGTTTTTATATGAAACTCAAAGCGATATAAACTGAATATTATTGGCAGACGTCTAACTTCTCTGAAATCGCCAAAATCGGCAGTCATTATGAACCATTCATAACTTGAAAATGGACCGAACTAATTTATACACCCAATAAAAAATAAAGAACGAGGTATATTCTGTTTAGTATCACTTTTGCCGCTTGATGTAATAAAGCAGTCCAATTAATTAGAGTACATTGCTTCAGTATTTCCGACCAGACCATTTTCATTTACTTTTAGACGTATAATCATGGTAAAATTTATTCTTACACATGTATATTTCGTAAATCCTGAAATATGAGTCACGTACGTGCCAATTCAACACACACGAATATAAATCAGATTTTCCAGGTTTCCTTTCTCAAGAAAAGCGGGAAGTCAATTTTAAATTGATTTTTCAATTTTCTTCTCGCATGTGATGTATAGAGTGCCATAAGCGAGCTTCCTGTATAGATGTTTTGTGATTTCGTTGTGTCTCATTGTAATAAAAATCTATCAATTTTTATGGTGTTTCTCACCATAGATATTTTCATAGATATTTTTTTATGATATCATTAACATGCTATATATATATGCGTTCTCCTCTCGAGTTGTAATATATTTATATTAGAGAAAAGACATTTAAAAATTAAAAATATATCTATTTAGTAATTACTTCAATGAAGTATATATTTTCTTACTTTTTTCATCAAAAATAATTTTTCTTAATATAAATTACTTTATTTAGAATATTTTCCTTCACATACATACACACATACACATACATGTATATATATAATATATTAATATAAGCAAATATGTTGTTAGTACTGTATTGTACAATACAGTAGTATTGAACAATACATGATATTATTGATTGAATAAAGATTTTTTAGATATTCCTTTTCTCAATGCGAAGATAATAAAAGAAAGAGACACAGAATATACAGAATGTTTAAAAAAAGGGTTTTTAAGACTTTAAAAGCAGATCGTTGTCACAAAATGGAGTTAAAAAAATCCTAATAGACATAAGTTAATTAATTAATCGAAAAATTAATGTTGTCGTTATGAATAATGTCGTGGACAATGGACGTGGAGTTATGAGCAATTATTTGTTTTAATTAAAATAAGTGGTTTATTCGCTTTTAATGTACGACCATATATAAAATTCATTTCTGCCATTTCTTGATTACAGTAATATGTTGTTATTTCTACTATATAATGAAAATTTGTAATATCTCTTGTAACTGTTCACTGTTCACGAAAATATCTGACTAATGAAGCGTGTGTATAAGTGGGAAGAAAATAGATGTTTGTTTACATTCTGAGCAAGAGCGAAGAGATTTTTTTAGGAATTTATTTAACGCATACTTTTACTTTACTTTTTGGCCATCATACTTTGAAGCGTACTCTTCATCGATAAATGACAAATTATATCAGAAAATACAAAAGCACCAAAAGTGAGTAAGAGTCACTTGCTTTAATTAAAATAAATAATTCATAATTCTGACAATATTAAATTTTCAACTCATGTTTGTTAGAATTTTTTTCTACTATTATCTTATGAATACTATCTACCCTTCAATTCCTCTTTTCTTTAAACACTTTGTACAATAAAATATAAAATATAAGATGTAAAAATAATTAAATACAATCCTATCACGTATGGCGTCGCGGGATTAAGGATAGCCGCATACCAAGTAAACCTATATTAAACTGAAAATAAATTAGAGGACAAGAAGAAAGTTTCGCGATGGA